GGTTGAACAAGTTTACACTCCTACCAACAATGCAGTAAGGTTCCACATCCCCTCCAGCATCTGTTGTTATTAGAGTTCTTGATTTTAGCCATTCTAACTGGGGTGAGGTGGTATCTCAACGTTGTTTTGCATTTCTTTTATGGCTAGGGAGGTAGAGCATTTCTTCATGTATCTATTGGCCATCCTTCTTTCCTCTTCAGAGAAGTTTCTCTTTAAGTCTCTCAAAATATTTGCAGTCCTGTTAAGTTTGATAGCTATAGGTAAAATGAGAATTAGATTGTTTGTGTGGAAATTAAATTCCAAAATAAAGATCTCCACACCAGAGATGTAGCTCAATAATAGAGAACTAAGTTAGCTTGTACAAAGTCCTGGATTTGACTCCATACTTACTCCAAGGGTGAGGCTAGGGGTGGGAGAGAGACAAACAGACAGACGGATGATAAATTAGATAAGTTAGATAAATATAGAGAGAGATAGAGAGATAGATGTAGACAGACATACACATATATAGCTACCTTTAGTAAGAATTGAAGCAATAAATCAGGAAGCTCTTTAAAGAGAAATGAGTACTATTCAAATACTTTAAAAGAACCTAAACTTACCAACTTATTTGCAAATTGGTCAATAAGGCAGATTTGAATACATGTTAAGGACTAACTTAGTCCTTAAAAGGAATAAAAGAAAACTTTTTAACTGCAGCCTACTTCTTAATTAAGATTCTTACATTAAAAACCACAATTTCAAAACACTTTTCCATAGACAAAGCAGAGATTAATTACCTCTGAATAGTCCTGTCCTGCTCATCTACCCCATTAGCCTAACTTTGCATGCATGTGTAACCTCAAATGCATTTGCCTGCTTTAAATGATGTTTGTTTGTTTATCATGTGTACTGGAAAATTAATGGCTATCTTAACACTACAGATCTTGGAAGACCAAATAAGAATTAGAGATCAGGCGGCCACAGGAACTAATCTTGCAATGCAAGATTTTAACATCAAACACCTCCAAGGAGTCGGAGACCTTCGGGGAAGAGTAGCAAGGTAAGGTGAAATGAACCCCAAGATAAGGTCTCAAATGGTTTTTTGTTTTTCCTTTCATGCAATTGTTTCTAACATATTTATAAGATGATTTCTATGTTGCTTTCTATGTCCCTCCCCCACAGTATAACCCATGCTTTCACTGTGTTTGATGTCGGTATAATTTGTGGAGGGGAAGGGAAAAAACAAATCGTTTAACTAGGGATACAGATGGACCCATTGCAACAATGAGATGTACATGTCCTTATGTGGAAAAACGAACTTTACAACTTTGGTGGGGGGTGAAGGGAGGATCAGGTTGGGGGAGGGAGGAATATGGGAAGTGATGGAAAGGGGAAACAAAGAGGAGGCAACAATGCTTGATAAGAAATGTACTCATTATCATGTAATTGTAACTCCTCTGTGTGGTATTTTCACAATAATAAAAAAGAAGTAGATCAAAAAATGCTGGTGGGCGGGGAAGGTGGCTCAGTGGTAGAGCACTTGCCTTGCATACATGAGGCCCTGGGTTCAATTCCTCAGCACCACATAAGCAAAAAAGAAAAAAGCCGGAAGTGGCGCTGTGGCTCAAGTGGTAGAGCGCTAGCCTTGAGCTGAAGAGCTGAGGGACAGCGCCCAGGCCCAGAGTTCAGGCCCCACAACCAGACCAAAAAAAAAAAAATCTGGCTATTAGTTCTTGCTTGCTGAACTCTGGTTCCCCAATCCATATTGTTGAAAACAATATGTCAATTTTAAATAAGTTTAAGTGCTGTGCTGTGGTTGAGAACATGTTTCAGAAAACTTTGAAAGGCTCATGCCACCTGCAACACCCTTTGAAAAAAAGACCCATCCCATGTTGTGTCCTGGCTGTCTACTTTTAGAGTTACCAGAGTCTGCTATTGTAGCCTTCAACCACTCAAATGCCAACATCTTGGCACAGATAAAATCCCCACCTGTGTTAAATTTCAATGAGTAAAACACTTAAAATATGTAATGATTGCACATGAGTCTAACAAAAGGAATGTTCTGCCAAATAAGTTGTTTTGAACAACATCTTTTGTATGAAAGATTTAATAGCATGCGATTCAGGTGAAAAGAGTCTGTGGACATTACAATGATAGGACAGCCTACCATGCCCACCTTCCTTCTCTAGAACTCTTTTATCTCTCCTAGGAAATCTCTACCACCCTGTTATTGACCCTCCCAAGTATAAATGACCAAGAGAGAAGTAAATGAGAAACATCAAGTCAAATCTCTCTGTCTGAAGTCTGTTTATGTGTCTACAACAGAATCCTTTAGACAGAGTAATTTATAAGAACAGAAGCTCACTTTCTTGCAGCTCTTAGAGGCTGGGAAGTCCAAGATCAAGAAGGCATCAGATCTAGTTATCTGGCAGGGGTTCCATCTTCCATACAGGAGAAGCACTGAGTCCTCTGGAAAACAGGAGACTGAATGGCCAAGGACACAATGATCTCTGAAGACACTGCTATAAGAGCCTTCATCCCATTCATCTGGGAGGATTTTCACAGCATAGTAATCTCCTAAACAAACACCTCGTCTCTTCATCCTATCAGCAACATTTGAATTTTGAAGAAGACATATTTAAATCACAAAATCCTTTCCTAAGGCTTTTTCCATTCAACTCAACAAAAATATAATAAAAATTTACCAGGTAGAAACGCATGCCAGCACACTTGGTCAATTCTTATTTCTTTCTTACATTGATGTTCAGTCAAGCAGTGATTTGGGGACCAGATCTTACTTTTCCTGGAAATATCTTTCTTTTATGGAAAATTTCCAAAATCTCTTGGATAATCTGAGAATCTGGTTAATAGCTACCGAACTAAATTCATCTTCCTCTCCTGTTTATTTTCTGTGCTTTTGCTAGAAGAATGATTCAGGGGCAAGCGAAGGCGTATTGATTACTGGCTTCTGGATCTAGTGATTTGAATTCCAATTAGCTGTTTGGAACATGTGAAATTAAGTTGATTATTTTAACATAATTCCTAACAAATACTTTATTGCATTATATATGTATTAGGTTCAATAGTTAATAATTCACTTATAACTTACTTCCCACTCAGTGGCAGTTTAAAGGCAAGTATTTAAAATGAAATAAGGTGCACCTCAAAATGCAAATCAATTGTGTTGGCACAATCTAGGGAGAGTAGGAGAAAAACAAAGGGAGGAGTAATAATGCTCAATAAGAAATGTACTCCTAGCCGGGTGCCGGTGGCTCACGCCTGTAATCCTAGCTACTCAGGAGGCTGAGATCTGAGGATCACAGTTCAAAGCCAGCCTGGGCAGGAAAGTCCATGAGACTCTTATCTCCAATAAACCATTAGAAAACCAGAAGTGGCACTGTGGCTCAAGCAGTAGAGCGCTCGCCTTGAGCTTTGAAGAGATGAGGGACAGCGCCCAAGCCCGGAGTTCAAGCCCCATGACTGACTCAAAAAAAAAAAAAACACTTACTACCTTACTCATATAACTTGTAAATCCTCTGTACAGTATCTTTACAATAAAAAAAAATCAAAAAAGGAAAAACATGTCCTTTGACAAAGCATAATGATATTATGGATACCTTAACTTTTGCTCTTTTACTAGAGTAGGGGGAATACCTTGCCCTAAGAACACACCCCAGTTCCACCAAAATAATATCAATCATCATCATCATTATCAACATCACTGTCATCATTATCCTGTAAGGACAAGAGATGCACAGGAATCTTTGAACTTAGAAAGCAAAGGTACATGGAAAATGCCTTAGAAGACTTTATAAAGCCAAACTTATAGCCAGAAAAGAATGGAGTGATGCCTATCATGTACTGAATGATCATCACTCTTAAAGCATAAGAGAACACACAGCATTCTTAACAACTTGAAAGTTCTAATACTACTGAGCCCTTCCTTTGAAAACCTGAATGAGAAATCTCAACAACCAAGAAATAAAGCAACACAAATAGCTCAAAAAATCATAGTTAAAAAAAATATATATATAAAACACAGGATTTAAGTATAGAATGAAAACTCAGAAACTGTAAGCTTTTTAGTTACAGAACATTATACAAATGCCATAACATTTGCCATTTAAAAATAGAAAAATATAGCTGGGTGCTGGTGGCTCATGCCTATAACCCTAACTACTCAGGAGGCTGAGATCTAGGAACTGAAGTTCAAAGCCAGCCCAGGCAGGAAAGTCTGTGAGACTCTTATTTTCATTGAACTACCAAAAAAGTCAGAAGTGGAGCTGTGGCTTTGGTTGTGGCTGTGGCTCACTAGCCTTGAGCAAAAGAAGCTCAGGAACAGTGCCTAGTCCTTGAGTTCAAGCCCCAGAATTGTCTCTCTCTCTCTCTCTCTCACACACACACACACACACACACACACACACACGCACACACACTAAAGTGCTGAAGGAGCAAGTATGTATATTTATATTCTCATTTGGGGAGGTGGGTCCATATATGGACTCAGTTAAAGCCATTCCAAACAACCAACAATAGTGGTGTGGCACTAGCAATAATGGTTTTTGGCTCTCAGCCATGACATGTGCTTGACTACATTTACATTCATGTTTTAATGTTTTTTATTGTAAAAATACTGTACAGAGGGGTTACAGTTACATGAGTAAGGTAATGAGTACATTTCCTACTGAGCATTATTACCTCTTCCTTTGTTTTTCCCCTACCATTCCTTCCTTCCCACCTCCCCCACCCCAAGTTGTAAAGTTTGTTTTCTACATAGTGTCTTGTACATCTCATTGTTACAATGGGTCAACCTGTATCCATGTTTAAGCATTTTGTTATTTCTCTTCCCTTCCCCAAATTAGAAAAATGTATATACAAGATGCAGGGCACCGACATCAAATACAGTGAAAATGGGTTATACCATGGGGGAAGAACATACAAGAGAAACAAAAAAATCACATAGTACATTTTAGATACATTAAAAACAATAGCAAGAAAGAAAAAAATTGTGTCCCTATCTTGGGGTTCCTTTCACTTAACATTATCTTATATGGTCATATGTACACAGCTTTTGATCTTTTCTGCTTGTTCTTGACTTATACTAGTTATTTGCAAATAACTATTGCAAATAACATAGGTCGCTTGGGACCTATTTTGGGGGGGCCTGGTTTACTTCACTTAATATAATTTTTTCCAAGCCTTTTCATTTCCTAACAAATGGGGTAATGTCATTCTTTGATGGAGGCACAGAATTCCATTGTGTATATACACCACATTTTCTCAATCCATTCATCTACTGAGGGGCATCTGGGTTGGTTCCATATCTTAGCTATGGTAAATAATGCTGTGATAAACATAGTTGTGCTGGTAGCTTTAGTTTAACCTTGTTTGTGATCATTTGTGTAAATGCCCAAAAGTGGGATTGCTGGGTCATGGGGGGGGGGGTTCTATGTGGATTATTCTTATTCTTGATTATATTGACTCCCATCTTTTTCTCCCTACAGCTCCCTCTCCCTGGCCAGTTACTGGTCCCCTTTCAGGGGAATGCTCAGACAAAACTTCATATTTAATGCCCCTTTGTTCTATAATATTAAAGGAAAAAGTTCATTTCTCAGCCTCATCTCATAGGCGGGTTGTTGTTGTTGTTGTTTTACATCAAAAGTCAAATGCTACCTATCTAATCCTAAGCAGCAGGGTATATTCCCCAAACATCAAAATCTGTTAAAACTTTTATGACTGATTTACTATATTGAAAATGCACAGTTTCTCCTAACTCATCCTAAATTCCCCATGTATACAAATCCAGTGTAGGTCAATATATCTAGCCTAGCTTCTCTCTCATCAGGAAGAAAAGATAAAAATAATGGTTATGGTTCATCCTCCTCCATCTACCAATATAATATTCAATGAACTTTAGAACTTTTCCCATGAAATGATTTTATTACAGTATTAAAATATTGTGAACCTGTTGATCTCACAAATTTCCATATTGGGACTAGATGTGATGCAAGCATCATAAAACTTTCTGGAGACATTCACTTCATCAAGCATGAGTACCGTCAAATTGAAAAAGCAATTCAAGAGCTCATGGCTAACATAGAAACTATTTCCAAGAACTTGGATATGAAGGTAACTAACTCTTACACTGTGAGTTCTAGCCGAAAGTCATACCATTATAGCTTCTCCAAAGGGCCAGCTAGGTGGTAATTTTTTAAGAACTTTTCTAAAATAAATAAGTCTTTTCTTCCAAATGATTTAAAATGATAGTTCAATTATATGCACCATGAATAGAGGAGGTTCCATCAGTAATATTTAATAGGTACTTTTTATGTTTTAGCATAGCTACCACCCATTGTAAGCATGGACTGCTTGATGGCCAGACTGCTTGATGGCCATTTTGCTGCCCTTTCTTATTTCCTTATCTGGCTTCCCCTCAAACACTGTGGAGCCAGGGATTACAAGCAAAGAAATTGTACATGGAAGCTCTTATGCTAATTTAATGGAAGTTGAATATTTACATACTTATTTAAAACCTTCAATGGTCATGTCACTTACAAAGACTATAAAAGTCTTTTAGTTCCTAGGTTTTAATAACCATCTCTTTATTGGACACCGCTTTTTGCTTGTGCCTTGACTTTCTCTGTATGACATATGCTGGTGCCTTGACTATATATATATACACATATATATGATCTATCATGTATATATATATATATATATATGATCTCTCATATATAAAGTTTTATACATATATGTATCTCCAGGGGTTCTAAATTACCTGATCATAGATTTGTCTGTATCCTTTTAATGTGCAATATTCCCATTTCCTAAATAAATTATAATTACTATGTTGATTTATTCTCTAACATTTGTCCCTTGCGAATCGAATGTCATAATAAAAGAATTAGAAAGCTGCTGAGGTAGAAGTCTCTAAAGAAAAAGTGTAAGCATATCTTCAATAGTAGTAAAAATTATATACTCAATATTTATTCATTCAACCCCTTTCACATTTACTCCTTTCTTTGCTAAGAGAACTCTTAAAAGGTTTCTTTATGTCATAGGACTGACTGTGAAGAGTTAAATTCTGCTTGGCTAAAGCCAATCATGTTTCATGGTTGTCAGTAATTAATTTAGATTGAAATACGTGTGGCAATTCTTTGTTCATTTTTAAAATCCAGTTCTTGTTCCTAAAAGGAATTTTCTCACTGTGTTTGGCAATGCAAAAGGTACAATACTCATAAACTCAAGGACTGGAACTTGTTTGCTTCCTATCTCTATATGCTTCTAAGTGATGTCACATGTGACTTAATTGTGGTCGTGTCAGAATACTATTTGGAACACTGGATGCTGGTGGCTTATGTCTGTAATCCTAGCTATTCAGGAATCTGAGATCTGAGGATTATGGTTTGAAGCTAGCCTGGGCAGGAAAGTCTGTAAGACTCTTATCTCCAATAAACTACTCAGAAAAAGCCAGAAGTGGTGCTATGGTTCAAGTGGTAGAATGCTAGCCTTGAGCACAAAGACGCTCAGGGCCTGGGGGAAATTGCTGAAACCAAAACCTGCTAAATTATTTGTGTGTTCCTCAAGAGACTAGTTGTGCATTTGAACATTTATTCATTTAGTATTTACTGAGCTTTTGCAATTATTCACCTAATGCCACTGAAGACAGTAATGACAAGATAGAATAGCTTAACTGAAAAGGAAAGAAATAAATTGAATTACTAAGCAAACTGATGGCAATAGTATGCTTTTGTTAAAGCATTGTTAGCCTATTACCTAAAAGAGCATTGTAGACAGCAAAATGGAACACATCCTAATACTCTTTTCCAAACACTGTGACTATAATTTTGAATCATACTCATACAAAAAATCATTTTCAAATTTTAAGTGTGCTCAAAGTTTGTCTGTTTCCTGACTCCTTTAGGAATAAAGTATAACATATACAAGTGCTGGTAGTTTTGCTTACACACTAAGGTATTGTCTTGTACTTTCATTAGGTGACCCAGATCTTAGGAAAAATAGAGACATCCGCTTCTCAGCAAACCTCAAATTTAAAGGTAGTCCAGGGAGATTATCGCCATGAAATGAACCTTTTGGAATTCAAGTAAGTAAATGGAAGACTTTTAATTATGTTTGACTAGTGAAGCCTTGTCACAGAATAAAAACCCATTCCAGGAATTTGAACCTGGCCAAGAAATAAAATACTAAATCAATGCAGACAATATTATACACTAAAGTAATATGAAAGAATATGAATATTAATTTTTTTCATTCTCCTATCATACTCCTATATGCGATTCACAGATATACTCATTTTGACCCTTCCCACAGAGTATTTTGCCTTGTTGTCCATTTTGTATTAATATGTCTCAATGTAAATCACTAGTGAATACAAACTGATTCCTCAAGATTAGCAAGCATATTTTAAAACAATTTTGATCTACAAGCTTTTCCTTTAAAATTTCTTCTCAGATCTTTCTATTATTATTGCTTTGTATTATCCTTTTATAACTAGTCTTGATCCCATATTAAATTGATACTTTCCCTACTCAATGGAGAAAATAGTAAAAATGTGACCTGAAACAAACATTCAAATTATTGTTCCTTTCCCCCCTTTTTTTCCCCCACTAAATCTCTCTTCCTTGTTTAAATGCCTACAGTATCCCAAAGGTATAGCACAAAGGAAATATCTAGTCACTTGGATAATCCTGCCTTACTGTTCTTGCTCCCTATTCTTTCTCCTGTGTTCTGTATCACGTGGGATTAATGCTTTGATATTATCAGTATTCTGATAATATTCTCCTTTCTCCATTTTCCTTGTCTCTATTTCATTATTTATTGAGAAGTGTCATTGATTACCAATGCACCATTATACATTAGTATCTCTAAGATCTGAAGCTATCAATTAAACGACAGCATGTATCATTACCTACACCTTATTTAGGATGCATTAAAATAGAAAATATTATGTTCTAAAATTTGACTAGTCAACACAAAAATTTGAAGAAGTAGATGTCTTGAGTAAACAGAAAATATCTTTCTTCATATGGTGACTTTTTTAGTTGCTGGTACTCATTTCAATCTTTCCATCTCTGAAATGATATCCACTCCCATTTTTTAAAATTCTTCATTCTTTGGCATTTAGTACAATTATGATGATCACCTGATCTGAAAACTTCCTTCCTGCAAGTCTACTATTTTGCTTTTTGTTCCACATAAGTAACTCAACATCAGTTTGTTCACAATTCCCCTCCCCCTAAAAAAAATCTACTCATAAAACTCTATTGGTCTCATGGAAACTCTATTGAAGATTTCACTTGCAAGCTGGGCACTGGTGGCATGCGCCTGTAATCCTAACTATTCAGGATGCTGAGATCTGAGGATCACGGATCAAAGCCAGCCTGGGCAGGAAAGTCCCTGTGAGATTCTTATCTCCAATTAACCAGCAGAAAACTGGAAGTGGTGCTGTGGTTCAAGTGGTAGGGTGCTCACCGTGAGCTGAAGAGCTCAGTGACAGTGGCCCAGCGTCCAGGCCCAGATTTCAAGCCCCACAACAGACAAGAAAGAAAGAGAGAAAAAGAAAGAAAGAAAGAAAGAGAGAGGGGAGAGGAGAAAGAAAGATTTCCCTTGCAATAACCACCCTAAAGCCTTACACATTGCATTCCTAGGTTCCTTCATGGTCCTTGTGGCATTTTTCTCCTCTACTGGAAAACACAGGTCCTCTCTAAACAGCTCTTCTTCCTGCTTCTTAGAGGAGCTTGTAAAAGTAGGGCTTAGCAGATCCCCACTTTTAGCTAAGCTCTCCCAGAGCTGAGAATAAGTTTTACACTTTTGAATAATTTTTCATGAACTATACTATTATTAAATATTTAAGAATTATATTCTATAACATATAAGTATTACCTGAAATTGAAGTTTTAGTGTACATAAAATTTGACTGGAATAGAACCATGCTTATTAGTTTATGTGCTTTGTTCATATGCTCTTTTATTATAGAGGCTGGATTGAATAGTTGTAACAAAGGCTCTCAGGCCTTAAAGCCTAAAATATTTGCAATCTACCCTTCACAGAGAAAGTATGTTGGCTGGCCCCTACCTCAAAGTCCCCCACTTTTTGGTGACTTATCAGTATTAATTCTACATTGAAACCTCAGCCCTGAGAGGATTTCTATATGGATAACAACTTTTTGTGTGCTTAGCTGCAAGGTGGTGGTATATCTGTCACTCTGTGTACATATTTAGACTATGCAGAAGTTTGGTAACAGTGATATAATTCAAACTAAGGGGAGGGGGGACTAAATAAATTTACTTTACCCCTCACTTCCTATATTCTCACTCCCTAAGTATTTGGCAAGGCACATGGTGCCTCATCTTACTGATCTTACTTCTCAATCCTAAAGTTTTGGTTGATCTTTAAATTTACTGATTAAAACAGAAGACATTTTCCTTTAGATTTAATTCACTTTCAAATAATGTGTATGAAGAAGTGGCAAACAATCAAAAATGGACAGAAGACCAGTTTATCAAATACAGAAAAGACCACCTATGCCACATAACTGAATGTCTGAAGGTCCTGCAGGAGAAATTGGTAAGGAGCTCTTAACCACATGGTCACTGTGTGATCCAGCCACAGGAAACATCTGAAAGGTCACCTTGGAAAACACTCACCACACTGTCCCTAACTTGCTACATTTCAAGCACGACAGTAGAAGCCTTGTGGTCTACCTTCTGGCACTGTTTGCTATTTCCCAACTACATGAGCCAGAATTTTTCAGATGTGTACCAAAATGTTCCTGAAGAGGGTTTTTTTAAAATGATTATTATTAAAATACAGATTCTCATGAGAGATCTAACAGGAGGTAAACTCCCTGGGAGTTTGTTGGGAATCTGTTGTTTCTGAACAAGTTCTATGGTTAATGCTCAAGCATAGCAAAGTTTGGAAACTGCTACTCTGACAAGTCACTTAACCTCTCTGGAAATCTGCCAAATCTGTTTTGGGTTGGTCGTGAGGCTTGAATTCTGGGCCTGGGCGATGTCCCTGAGCTCTTCAGCTCTACCACTTGAGCCACAGGGCCACTTCTAGGTCAAAAGTTTTTTAAAAGCATCATCAGACTATGTGAAGAGAGCCTGGGCTTTGTGGTAAGGCTGCCAAGTTATGGCTTCCAAATTGTCTATTTGGATAACTCTTTCAGACTTCTTTATACTGGGCTTAGTGGAGAAGGGAGCACAGGGCCATTGTGGTGATCAGTGGCTACTCACCATATTATAGGTGGGACCTTCATTAAAGGAGCTTTAGACAGCTTAGTAAATAATGTCTTCCACATCCACCTGAGTTTTCAAATAACTGAGTGAGGTAAAGTCAAGAGATAAACCTCGTAACTTTATCACTGATAAGATTCTCAAAATTTGTGCACTCAGATAGGCAGCTGTCATGTGGACCTGCTAATAGTTCACCCCTGAATTCCTCCACCATTGTAAGCAGCACTAGGTAATCTTGTAATCACTCTGCAAAAGCCTCCTTCAAAGGAGAGGGAGATTGAACGCACCATTATTGGGGCCAAAGAGAAGTTATGCTCAGTTCGTCTTCCTAAATTCTCTATGGGGAAGTGAGGAGAGAAGAAGCTAATTGGCCAAAGGATGATTCTGCAGCCCCCAGTGCCCTGGAAAGCTATTAAGCTGTATGAATGCCTGACTTCCATCATAAATAAATCAGAATTTCTGAGAGTGGATATGAGGTAATCGTAATGAAGAGAAGGCAATATTCTAGATGAAATGAGTACACATGAAGATGCGAAATTCCAGGGACTAACAATATCTAGTACATAGGTACTCATGTTCCAAGCATCACCTAAAACATCTTCTTTTACTATACTCTTCTAAAAACTAGGCTACAACCCCAAATCCTCAAGAATTTCAGTAAGATCACACCCCTCTCTTCTCTATTCTTCCCTAAAATATAGAGTTGTAGAAATGACCACTGAAAAAGGTTAAATAAACAGATTAGCTTAATACCTTTGTGAACACCTTTTTAGGTACAAGGGATCTTGTTTGGAATTTTCATACTCTATATGGAAATATAAATATGATTTTAAAAACCAGCACCTTTTCTTTCAAGCTAAAGTAAAACTCTCTCTTCTGGAGAGATATATTTTATGATTTCTTTTCTAGGAAAAGACCGAAAACAAAGTGGATGAAAAGATAATACAACTTTCAAGCAAATTAGAGAATTTGATTAACTCACAGAAACAGAAAACAGACCTAAACAAAACAAAGCATTTAGAAAACAGACTGTCCAAAAAGATGGAACAAATGGAAAAGCAGATCTGGAATGAATTAGAGAAAATTCAAAATGAGTATCAGTCAGGTGAGCATATTCAAATGTAACAGCTGTCTTTTCCTGTTCAATTCCTCAGAATTTTCTGGTTTAAGTATCAATCCTATGCTAGTGATGTTATACATTTAAGCTCACTACCCTAACATCATACCGGTCAGCATATCATTGGAAGGTAAAGAAATTAGTCAACTTTCTTCATTCACACTTGTTAATGTCACAAGCCTGGCACTGCTGTGAGTTTTGGTTTCACTATCTAAGATTATTGAATCCCAGAATTGTTTGATGGAGAATTCCTTAAATATCACTGGGTCCTAACTTCAGATATACTATAAAATTAGGAGCCTAAATCAAATGCCCCTCTCAAAATTGAATGGTTGATAATGATCCTAGACAGATGTCAGATGGAAACTTGACCTTTAGAAGTGAGGAAGAGAAATGAATTAGCAGAGTACAGGGTATTACTGCTTTTCTGCCTAAGAGCCTAAGGGCAACAGTGTCAAACTGAGCTAGCATCACAGAGGATTAATCTGAAATGCTCATCTGTCAGAGAGAATGCTCATTTGTCAGAGAGAAAGACATGGGATAAGGTGCTACAGAGCGGCCATCTGCCTCCAGTCACAATTCCAAAGAATTACCAGAAATCACAAGAGAGGGCAGTACCTCTATCTATTTTCTGTTCTCTGGGTATCAGAAAAATTCATGATTAATTCCAAAAAGTGTTGGTCCCGTAAAGATGTACACTAGGTGGTGCCTTGGGGAAAACATCACGGCCTCACTCTAGAAATGTTTCCGGCATGTATCTAGATTGTTGCCCAGAACACCACCAAGTCAAGAATGAGTTATGTGTCCAGGAATAGTGTACCAAACCAAATCAATGGCCCTGCTTTCTGCTTAACTTTCAGAGGCTTAATTTTCCTCATTCCCTAGTCTAACCTCAGGATGAGCTAAAGGGAAACCGACACTTTGTTTCTGCATTTCACTAAGTGGGAGTTCTAGCAAAGGACTCTAAATTTAAAATGTGGATTTTTAAGTCTTTAACATAAATAGATGGGGAAGCAAATGCGTAAAATATCTTTGTGGATAAGAACTAAGCTATACTTAAGAGCTTGAAATCTTTTGGGAGCATAGTCACAAAGTGCCTAGTCAAACAAGTGATAAGAGGGGCAGGGAGTAGCCATTCATTAGTACAGGCTACTTTCAGAGAAAGGGTGGCATTGATCATTTTATTTTTTATTCATAAACTTCTATGTTAAATGGCAACTGCTAAAAGATAATTTTTAACCCATTCATCTACTGAGGGGCATCTGGGTTGGTTCCATATCTTAGCTATGGTAATAATGCTGCAATAAACATAGTCATGCTGGTAGCTTTAGTGTAGTCTGGTTTCCCTTATTTGTAATAACTAGTATATGTCTGAGACAAGCAGAAAAGGTCAGATAAGTTGATATTAGGGAAATGAACCCTAAGATATGTATTCAAATGTTTTTTTCTTTCATGTGATTGTTTCTAACACATTTATAAGATTATTTCTTTATTGCTTTATATGTCCCTCCCCTGCTTTCACTGTATTTGATGTCGGTATAATTTGTAGAAGGGAAGGGAAAAAACAACTTGTTTAAATAGGGATACAGGTGAACCCATTGCAACAATGAGATGTACAAGTCGTTATGTCAAAAATGAACTTTACAACTTTGGTGGTGGGGAGGGAGGAGGATCCGGTAGGGGGTTGAGGGGGGAGGATGAGAAGGAATGGGAAGGGGAAACAAAGGAGGAGTCTACAATGCTTGATAAGAAATGTACTCATTATCTTGCCCGAGTAATTGTAACCCCTCTGTACAGTATATTCACAATAAAAAAATAATTTAAAAAGATAATTTTTTAAAAAAAGAAAAGGGAAATCCTCATCTGTAGACTACCTTCGACAAGTAACAGGAACTTCTTTTTTAAAAAAATCACATAAGTATTTGTCAAAGCATACAGAAAAGAACTTTGTTTAAAGTTAATATTACATATTTTAAATTGCTGTATTATTCAATCTACTGGGGAGTAGGGAGTGAAAAGAAATTTCACAGAAGCCAAATATAAGTTAAAACACATGACTCATGTATCTTAATGACATACAAGAAATGGAGTTTGTACAATTTTTTGAATTTAATGTGCTTTGAATTAAATGATGACTGATTGTGATAGGACTGCTAATTAGCAAATTTGAAAAGAAAAGTTCTAGTATATTAAGTAAATCTGTTTTCTTTTCCTCTCTTAGGATTTAAATCAGTTCATGACTCAATCAACTCCCTCCAAAAAATACAGAAAACAAAAATGGACTTAGAAAAATATAAAGTACAGAAAGATCTAAAGAAATTACGGCGCAAGATAGTGGAACTCCATGAAGTGTAAAACTTTCCAATCATCTTATTTCTCCCCAGCTAGTGGAGAGGTTTGTTGGGAAACGCTGTGAAAAAGGAAGTTACAACCTTCGGATGTTCAATGCTTCTAAAGTCTCTTTATTTCTTATCACCTTTTAAGGAGATGAATGTACCACAGAAAAACAATAAAGCCGGAAGTTTTATGATGTCTTCAACTTATTAGTGGAAAAAGTAAAAGAATCCATCATATACATTCCTTTTTATATTTTTACCAAAATTAAAGGGCAACTTAAAGTAGGTACACAGATGAACACATAAGGCCAGATTTAAACAAGGTAGGAATTGTGGCGATGTACAGACTACTGACCATGTTGAAATAATAACTACCATATGGTTAGCACTTATTACCAACATGAGTTTAGTATATTATTACCAAAAATTTTGTTTTCCAAGAGAAATGTCTCCATTTTTAACTAGTAACTTCTAGTTCAAAATAAATGGAGTAATGAACTCTTTGTAACATCTGACTCAGGAATCTTCCTTCTATAACCTGTTATTGGTATCTCAATGTAAACAACTTATGCATATTTAAAGTATATTTCAATTGTATTCAGTATGTGTCAGAATCACCCAAGCAAAGAGAGTTCAATAGCTTCTGTCAAAAAGTACTCCTTAAATTTTATCTAAGTACTAAATTCAGAAACATTTTAATAACATTAATTTCCTATAAGTTAAAATACGTGCAACTTTTCTGCATATAAATTTAGATATAGAATTATTAATATGAGAAGTAAAATAATGAGATATAGAAACAAATCATTTGTAGCATGTGCTGGATTAAGTAATAATTCTAGTTATAGTGACCCTTGCTTCAAATTTAGCTCCCTTCTTTGGCTTACAGGAAATTAACAACTTCTCTCTGAATAAAGAACAGATTTATCTTCTAAGTGTTATCGGTATCCAATGTCAACTTCTATAATTATGTGTGTGCACACACACGCATGAGTTGGCTCGTGCGCATGTATCTGGTAGCTGTCCCTTGGAGGGAAAGAGCCTGAAGCTTTCCCTGAGGTTTTTGTGCTCAAAGCTAGAGCTTTTATTACTTGATCCATAGCTCCACTTCTGGCTTTTTGGGTGGCTAACTGAAAATGAGTTTCACAGACTTTCCTGCTCAGTCTGGCTTTCAACTGTGATCATCAGATTTCAGCCTTCTGAGTAGCTAGGGTCCACCGGATAACCTCCCATTTTTAACTGTGTGAAAGATCTACATTTATTGTTATTAGTAAGCTATATGTGGCATCATTGGTTCTACAAATGAAGAGCTTTTGATGCAAGAGTTAAGGTTAAAATTCAATATTTGTAATGCTAAGATAAAAAGCTATTACCTTAAGTCATCTTAAATTCTTTCAATCAATAAAAACAAACATACTGAATTCAATGTTTTATTTTCAAAATGAACACAGGACAAGAACAAGAAAACACAGAAAAGACAATAATTTGAGATTCCACCTCACCCTAGTTAGAATTGCCATTATCAAGAAATATAACAATAGAAACTGGCAATGATGTGGCCAAAAGAATATGCTACTACTGCACTGTTGGTGGGAGTATAAACTTGTTCAACCACTCTAGAAAGCAGTGTGGAGTTTCTTTAAAAGACTAAACATAGAGCTCCCCTATGATCCAGCAATCTCACTTATAGGCATTTACCCAAATGACCATAAACTAAAACTACCAACACAACTATGTTTATTGCAGCATTATTTGCCATAGCTAAGATATAGAACCAACCCAGATGCCTCTCAGTAGATGAATGGATCAAGAATGGAATTGTATGCTTCCATCAGAAAGAATGACATTGCCCCATTTGTAAGGAAATGGAAAGACTTGGGGGGAAATCATATTAAGTGAAGTAAGCCAGACCCAAAGAAACATAGGCTCCATGTTTTCCCTCATTTGTAATGATTAGTCTAGGATAGTCCTAGAAAAGGATCACAATAGCTCAATAGTTAATTAATATGATCACATAAGATGGTGCTAAGTGAAATGAACTCTAAGTTATGGAAACAAGTTATGATATTGCTGTTTTTAATGTACTATGTGAAGTTATTTCTTTTTTCCCTATGGTTTATCACTTGTCACTGTATTTGATTTTGGTGCCCTGTGTATTATATTTGTTTATCTGAATTGGGGAAGGGAAAGGGAACAACAAAAGGGTGAGACAAAGGACAAAGGGTGAACCAATGCAACAGCCATACTCACAAGACAACATGTTGGAAACAAACTTTACAACTTGCAAGGGTTGGAGGAGAGGGAAAGTGGGAGAAAATCAAGGGAGGGGGTAACAAGTTTGACAAGGAGGCACTCAGTACCTTACGTATGGTAACTGTAACCCCTCCATATATTACCTTGGCAATTAAAAACAAATGACCAACCTCACTATTAAAAGAAATAAAAAATTCTTACCTACCATTCTCAGATTGTTAGATTGAAATAGAAATTTATATTAGAGAAAATAATTTTCCTGAAGATAATTAAGAAAGGATGCTTATTATAGCATCCTTTATCATAGTAAAAATTACTAATTAAAAACCTTACATATAATGAATGTATTGACTATAGTAATGCTTTTACCAGACTAAAAAAAATTGCATTCATAAAGATATCCAAGATAGAATGTCAGGTAAAAAATGCAGCATGATCTCACATTTGTCAAAAACATTTTAAAATAATTCTAACACAAATATGTATTGTATGGAATAAAACCAAAAGAAGTTAAAACAGACTTAAACATGATTGAACTATGAAGAACTTCTGTTTTTTACATTAAGTACTTACAAATATTTTCACATTTTTACAGCGTACTGTTGTTTTCTATAACAATTTATTTTGATGAACAGTAATAAATAGTCTAGACTGAAAGAGGAACTATGTAAAGAACCAAATCAATATAAAGGATTAAATTGGGAATTCATAAAAAACAAGGGCAAGATTATCTTACTCACACCCACTATGACATCCACTGTAGACAAGGCTACAAAATCAAAGAAGATACAGAAAACAAATATCATGACAAGTATTTACTTGTAGAATTATATCTGTAATCCTAATAACTATGTAGAGTCAGGCCAAAATATTTCTTTAAATCAATTTCTTTCATTAGTTCTTGATCAGGGAATTAGCATATATTGGAGGAGATCAAAGTATCAAATTTCCTCTGCTACCTTTCTCTGAAGATGCCATGTGTGGGTGAGTGTTCACAGGTTGGCATACTCTACACCGTGAGAACTATGCCCAGAACCCATGTTTTTCAGGATCTAAAGTTTATTAATTTTGTGTTTACTGTTTATCTCATGTCATTATACCAGAGGAGATAGCACAGTACTCTAGGAATATTTTAGGAACTGATCTTCATCAGGACAACAGCAGTAACTCCAGACAAAACACAGTGTGAATAATGTGAGTATATTACTCTAACCCAAATATATTTCCAAATCTCCTTTTTAGCCAGAGGCAAAGACATGGAAGTAAGAGTAGAAAGAGGTCATCATCCTAAAATTTATTATCTTAATCAGCTTTGATTAAAATGTCTTACTCCTGTAAATTTTATAGTGACCTTGACTAAGGTTCACGCAAATGAGGAGTTCTGAAGCTCAAGAGCGTTTGATTTGTTTATTCTAAGTAGAGTCATCTCTACACAAAAGGCTCTGGGTCTTTATTGTCTTGAATTTATTTTTCTATGGATATAAAAATGACAATGAACATAAAATTTCCTGTTCTCGGGGCTGGGAAGGTGGCTCAGTGGTAGAGTGCTTGCCTTGCATGCATGAGGCATTTCCTGTTCTTGGGGCTGGGAAGGTGGCTCAGTGGTAGAGTGCTTGCCTTGCATGCATGAGGCCCAGGGTTCTATTCCTCAGCACCACATAAGCAGAAAAAGCCAGAAGTGGCACTGTGGCTCAAGTGGTAGAGCGCTACCCTTGAGCTGAAGAGCTGAGGGACAGCTCCAGGCCCAGAGTTGAGGCCCACAACTGGCAAAACAAAACAAAAAAAAAAACCCTGTTCTCTGAGAAGCTCAAGTATATGCCACTCTATTTCAGATGATGTTACCCACAAACATAGGATGATGTTTGAGTTTTAGAAGCTGCAACCCACATGCATCCTGTTAGAATATCTCAGGTACTTCTCACTTTATGGACAAACACCATTTTAGCAGTCCTGGGTAGTTCAAAGGTCCTACTGCCTCCCAACATTTTCTGCTATTATCTTCCATGTATTAAAATTTGCTCTTAGAAAACATAGGGAACCATCCAGTGTGTTCACTTGTGAGGCATTTTGTCATGGTGATGTAAATCTGATTAGTATTTCCCTGAGAGAACCTACCAATGATTAAACAACCAATAATTAAATTTGCAAATATGTGGGCAAGTAAAGGGTGTGTGAACACTAGAAAGAGGCACTTAGCATATCCATGGGGAATTAGGGAATTTTCCTGAAGAGACTTCTAAATTGAAACCTCCGCTGTATATGTAAGAATTAGCCAAAGGAGAGGCTTGCATAGTACAATTGAGGACCTCTGGCAGATGGAGTAGCTTGAGCAAAATCCTAGAGGCCAAGAGAATGGGAGAGGAAATGCAAGAAACTGAGTATGATCAGAGTTCAAATATGAGGAAGGAGATGGAGGGGCTGAGCAGTTGGAGGATAGAGAAGGTAGGGGTAGGGTGGTTTAATCATAAAGGCTTTGTAATTCTGGTTGACAGCTTGGATATTATCTCAAAGACCCATAGCAGGCTTTAAAGCATTTAAAAATAGACAGTGTCATTATTAGATTTGTATTTTAGAAAAAAAAATTTTTGCTGTAGTGTGGAAAACAAATTAAAAATGGTGTAGTTCGGATGTAGTGGGTCACTCCTATAATATTAGCATTCCAAAGGCCAATGTAGGAAGATAATGAAATTTAGGTCACTCTGGGCCATGAAGTGAGACCCAGTCAGTCTGGTAACAGGGAGAACAAAACAGAGGGAGAGCAAATTT